TCAGAGGATTACATCATTAGACTCAGAGGTCAGAGGATTACATCATTAGACTCAGAGGTCAGAGGATTACATCATTAGACTCAGAGGTCAGAGGATTACATCATTAGACTCAGAGGTCAGAGGATTACATCATTAGACTCAGAGGTCAGAGGATTACATCATTAGACTCAGAGGTCAGAGGATTACATCATTAGACTCAGAGGTCAGAGGATTACATCATTAGACTCAGAGGTCAAAGGATAACATCATTAGACTCAGAGGTCACACGATTACATCATTAGTTATGCTCAGAGTGTTAACATACTCAGTGTGTTAACATACTCAGAGTGTTAACATACTCAGAGTGTTAACATACTCAGCGTGTTAGCATGCTCAGAGTGTTAACATACTCAGTGTGTTAACATACTCAGTGTGTTAACATACTCAGAGTGTTAGCATGCTCAGCGTGTTAGCATGCTCAGAGTGTTAACATGCTCAGTGTGTTAGCATGCTCAGAGTGTTAGCATGCTCAGTGTGTTAGCATGCTCAGAGTGTTAACATGCTCAGAGTGTTAACATGCTCAGTGTGTTAGCATGCTCAGAGTGTTAACATGCTGAGAGTGTTAACATGCTCAGTGTGTTAGCATGCTCAGAGTGTTAACATGCTCAGTGTGTTAGCATGCTCAGAGTGTTAGCATGCTCAGAGTGTTAACATGCTCAGTGTGTTAACATGCTCAGTGTGTTAGCATGCTCAGAGTGTTAGCATGCTCAGAGTGTTAGCATGCTCAGTGTGTTAGCATGCTCAGAGTGTTAGCATACTCAGTGTGTTAGCATGCTCAGAGTGTTAGCATGCTCAGTGTGTTAGCCTGTTCAGAGTGTTAGCATGCTCAGAGTGTTAGCATGCTCAGTGTGTTATCATGCTCAGAGTGTTAGCATGCTCAGTGTGTTAGCATGCTCAGTGTGTTAGCATGCTCAGAGTGTTAGCGTGCTCAGTGTGTTAGCATGCTCAGTGTGTTAGCATGCTCAGAGTGTTAGCATACTCAGTGTATTAGCATGCTCAGTGTATTAGCATGCTCAGTGTATTAGCATGCTCGGTGTATTAGCATGCTCAGAGTGTTAGCATGCTCAATGTGTTATCATGCTCAGTGTATTAGCATGCTCAGTGTGTTAGCATGCTCAGAGTGTTAGCATGCTCAGTGTATTAGCATGCTCGGTGTATTAGCATGCTCAGAGTGTTAGCATGCTCAGTGTATTAGCATGCTCAGTGTATTAGCATGCTCAGAGTGTTAGCATGCTCAGAGTGTTAGCATGCTCAGAGTGTTAGCATGCTCAGTGTATTAGCATGCTCAGTGTATTAGCATGCTCAGAGTGTTAGCATGCTCAGCAGCTCTGACCTGATCCTTTGACATTTCCTCGGTGGTAAAGCGGTCCGTCTCCTCTGACAGCTTCCCTTTCCTGCCTTTCTTCTGTTTAGTCTTCGGCGGCTGAAGAACAAGAAGAAGAACCAGAAACAGAACCATTAGCACCAAGAGCTAGTTTTTGTTAGCTTTCCTAGCCGATGCTAGGCTAACATGCTAGCAGTTCTTCAGCATAAAACCGGTCAAATAGAACGTTTTATATGTAACAGGTAACTTTTTACTCACCATGGTTTTACACCGGTGGCTCCACAGCAGCAGGTTGGTTTAAAAACACAACAAACCTCTGATTTTTACCCGTTTTATCTGTTTTTATCTCATCTGTTTCCTCTCAGTCCTGTCAGAACATCAACACGAGGTGCTGCCATGGCAACAAGGTCACGTGACATCAGACGGCTACATGYGTTTATAAAAACATCTCAGCTGAACTCCATAGATTTGTTTGCTTTTTGGTCATTTTTTAGTTTTTCAAATAGATATTGAAAACCGATGGTTATTCTGGTCTTAATTTTATATTTCTATATCAGGAAAACGGTCCTTACTAAACTATTTTCCCTCTGAGATCAATAAAGTATTTTTGATTTGATTTGATTTGTGTCAAACCGGAAGTTTAATACTGTCGTTACCGGATCGTTTTAGGTAGAGCTGGTTAAATAACTTTATGACAGGCGGCTGCCTGAACATAAATAAAGGCTAGCTAACTAGACTTTAACTGACTAACTGCAGTTTGAAATAGTACAAATACAGCTAGTAGTAGTAAAAATATAAAAATATATATTTATCCAGGTCTGATGACGGGATGAATAAACACAGATGTCAGCTGATAACTGGTTATTTTCCGCTGCAGTTCGTCTCCGCGCCGACAGGTGGCAGCCGCGGGCCAGCTGGGAGAGCCGCTGCTTTCAGAGTGTAGCTGACCATTGATTCGCCTGATCAAAAAACTTCACCRTCAGGAGAACYCAGAGAGAACCCACGCATGCACGGAGAGAATATGCAAACTCTACCCAGAAAGGTCCCCGGGCTGGGATTTGATCCGGCAACCTTATTGCTGAGAGGCATCAGCTGTGCCCGTTGTTTTTATTATGTTCTGCCTTTTATTTGTTATTTTACATTGTTTATTTCACGTGTGCAGAATGTCACACTGTTTATTTCACGTCAATTTATAAGTTAAGTTTACGTGTCTAAATCATTTTTATTACCGTAAACAAATCTCACAAGCTCATGTACGGTTGAAAATAAATCATAAGACTGAGCAGAGTTTTTTTAAACTAAATACTGAACAAGAACAAGATTAAAACAAAAACATTGAAAACCTTCAACATAAACAAAAACAAATTAAATAGAGTGAAAATGTAAATATTAACAGCTGGGGACTCATTAAAATAAAATTTCTCAACACTGTTATAAAGACATTTTGCTTTTTGTGAATAACAACGTTTTAAAGAACGTCACTGGTTCTTTGAACATATTTAAACTGGTCAACAAAGAATTTAACCAAAATAAACAAATTATTTATAAGAAACTCGTTTGTTTTCTCCTCCGTTATAACACCAAATTTAGATATTTAGCTAAGTATTTAACTTAAATTGAGTTCTGCATTTCTTTCTTTCTTTCTTTCTGATTAACAGGGTCCTGATAAGCCCCGCCCCCAGGCCTTGTATATCCGGGGTSTCCGGTTCATACAGACCCGGTGAAAACACCGGACCGCTAACCGAACMGTGTGGGTTCTGCTCAGACGGACCGGTGAGTTTAAACTCGGTTCTAACCTTTGTTTCCGGCTGCAGTTTGACCAGGAAGCGGTTACACACCGGAAATAAGAAAAACATCACTTTTGTCCAACCGGATGTTGGTCCTAAACGCTTTAGTTAGCTGTGGAGCTAACAGAGGCTAACACGMGTTCAGACCCGATCAGAACCAGCCGAACTTTATCTGTTTGAAGATGAATAAATATCCTGACTGTTAAGATATCTTTTACAGCTGGTTGCTGACGTCACTGCGTAAACTGGACCGGGTTTAAGGTTCTGCTGTCTCCAGGATGGACATCCGACCCAATCACACCATTTACATCAACAACATCAACGATAAGATCAAGAAAGAAGGTGAGCAGAGGTCCAGGCTGGTTCTGGTTCCATGTTGGACCAGAACCATCAGGGAAGACCAGGCTGTGTTTGTGGTCCTGCTCAGGTTCTGTGTGTCTGGTCCTGCAGAGCTGAAGCGGTCCCTGTACGCGCTCCTGTCTCAGTTCGGTCAGATTCTGGACGTGGTGGCGATGAAGACTCCCTCGATGAGGGGGCAGGCCTTCGTCATCTTCAAGGAGCTGACCGCCGCCACCAACGCCCTGCGCCAGCTGCAGGGCTTCCCCTTCTACAACAAGCCCATGGTAGGCCCGGCCCGGCGCCACGCTGCGTCCTCAGCGCCGCACGCTGACCTCTGACCCGTTTGTCTTTCAGAGGATCCAGTACGCCAAGACGGACTCAGAGCTCATCTCCAAGATGAAAGGAACGCACAGCGACAAGGAGAAGAAGAAGGAGAAGAAGAAGAAGGCTCAGGAGGCCGCTGCCGCCAGGAAACCAGCAGCTGTGAGTACAGAACCAGAACACGGGTCATCAGAACCAGAACACGGGTCATCAGAACCAGAACACGGGTCATCAGAACCAGAACACGGGTCATCAGAACCAGAACACGGGTCGTCAGAACCAGACCTGTCATAACAACAGATAACAACACTGAACAAACTTATAATCTGTCAGATTATAGACACACCTGTCTCAGGTGGCTCAGAGACAGGTGTGGAGGACAGGTTTGTTCACTCAGGACAGGAGCTGCAGACTGCTGCAGGAAGCCCCGCCCTGCTCTGCTCTGATTGGATAAAACTGTGGGGTGCGTTTGATTTGTTGAAAGCAGTGTCTGTTTAAACCTTGATCAGACTGGGTGGGTTTAACCAGACCACTTCAGTTTATCACCCAGGTCCAGGTCTGTTGGTTCTGTATGTGGACCGGACCTGTCATCTTGGTTCTGTATGTGGACCGGACCCGTCCTCTTGGTTCTGATAACGTCTCTTTGTGTCTCTGCAGGGTTTGGCTCCTCCCTCTCAGACACCTGCAGCTCAGGTAAGACCCGTTTCCTCTGCAGRTCAGAGGTTCTGTTAGTGTCCAGTTCTGCTCAGAAACCTTCAGAACCATGTTTAAAGTCCTGATCCAGATCCTGGTTCTGTCTGGTCCCCAGGTCCCGGACAATCCTCCGAACCACATTCTGTTCCTGACCAACCTCCCTGAGGAGACCAACGAGATGATGCTGTCCATGCTGTTCAACCAGTGAGTCCACCAGATCCAGAACCAGAACCGGAACCTGTGCTGCAGACGAGCTAACAGGTTCTGTCGGGTTTCTTTCAGGTTTCCGGGTTTCAAAGAGGTGCGTTTGGTTCCGGGGAAACACGACATCTCCTTCGTGGAGTTTGAGAGTGAGACCCAGGCGGGCGTGGCCAAAGACGCTCTGCAGGGCTTCAGGATCACAGCCACCTGCGCCATGAAGATCACCTACGCCAAGAAGTAGTCCCAACTGGACCCTGGGGGGGCGGGGCACAGACTCTGGGGGGTCGGGTCAGGTTCTGGKCTTTAGTTTTGTTGGTGTGATGAAGTCCAGCAGGAAACTGTTTGGATCTGATTTGTTTTGTCAAATAAAAGAATAAAAGTTTCAGTTTGTTTCTACAGGTGAGAGAAGAATAAAAACAGGTTTAAAKCTTTATTGAAACTGAAGCAGAGGACAAAACCAGAACAGGAAGTCCCTGAAACAAGTTCAATTCAAACTTCAAAATAAAAGACTTTATTTTGAAATTTACTCTGGAAATAAAATCATGTCCTTTAATCTGGGCTCTATTTAAACACAAAGTTCTGCACAGAACCTGGTCCAGAACCTGGACCCAAACCAACTGAGGACAATCAGAACACCTGCAATAACAGCCCGTTTGGACCCCTGGACTCTGGGTTTGGATCAGAAGAACCAGGAGGAAACATTTTGTCTTCATGTGGATCTGATCTGATCCCAGGACCGGCCCGTGGACCTGTTGTTCTGCTGGTCTTCAGTCTGGTCTTTGTGGGTCCGGTCTCCTTCATGGCTGYCAGCTCCATGAAGATCTGGTCCAAACGGAGCAGACCCTGTGAAGTCTTGGTGGTCTTCATCCAGTGCAGGCCGCTGAGGGTCCAGAACAGGACAGGAGGTCCAGATCTGTTGGACCGTTAAAGTCCAGAGAAGAAACCAAACAAGACCGARCCCCCAACAGAAAACTGAAACTAAGACCTGGATCATCAGAACCTGAACTTAGAACCAGGTCTTGTTTTGACCCAGTTCAGAGAGGTTCTGTTAACTGGTGTCAGTTTGTAGGAGGAACATTCAGCCTGATGATGATGTCGTTCACACTTCCTGTTGTTGTTCACACTTCCTGTTGACTTCCTGTTTACAGCAGGTAAACAAGCACACCTCGGTCTACTTCCTGTTCTTCAGGAAGACTTCCTGTTCACTGTCCTCTGAGTCTGGAGGGACGTAGTCTGAGTCCACGTCTTCATCTTCATCAGGGTTGGCTCGAGTCCAGGAAGCTGCAGAGATCAGAACACTTCCTGTTTCAGCACCGTGTCTCCTCAAAGGTCAGGACCATGGTCCAGGTAGAATCTAAGTTAGGAGCTGCAGCCACGCCCRGGGGCGGAGCCAGAGCAGGAATCAAACCACAGAAGAAGAGAATTTATTTTGAAACTCACCAGCTTCCTGTGTGTGTCTGAACTGTTTCCTGTGGAGAGGGTTCTTCCTGCAGAACACAYCAAAGATCACCAATCAGTAAAAGCTGCAGCAGAACCTGGACCAGAACCCCTCCAGCCCTCTGACCTGTAGCAGGCGGTTCCGTACAGACACTCGGGTCGGTTCTGGTCCTCCTGGTGGTCCAGGTCTCCGGGGTGACAGAACTCCTGGAAGTGAAGCGGGTTCTTCCTGCAGAACAGAGAGCAGATGAAGGTTCTGGATTCATCAGATTACAGYCGGGTCCAGAACCRCTTCTGGTTCCTAATCTGTGAGATTATAATCCAGCTTCCTGTTCAGCAGTTGAGACGTACCTGTAGCAGTCTGTCCCATATGGACACGGAGTTCTGACCTGCTGTTCAGACCACTTCCTGTCCGCCTGGCCTCCATCAGAGGACTTCCTGTTTGCCTCGCCGCCGTCTGATGTTTGAGATGAAGCGTTTGGCTCCCTGCTGACCTGTGAGCTGCTGACCTGTGAGCTGCTGACCTGTGAGCTGCTGACCTGTGAGCTGCTGGCCTGTGAGCTGCTGACCTGTGAGCTGCTGGCTGCAGGATCATCCTGAAGGTTGAAGGAACATTTCAATCATTTCTATAAAAATCAAAGATGAAGACAATAATCTGGAGGTCGGAGGTCTCATCAGAACTCAACTGTTTCAGTTTCCTGTTTCTCTTCTTTGTTCATCTTCCTCCTCTTTTTCTTCGGCCTCCTCTCCTCCTCCTCATTAAGCTCCGCCTCCTCTGTTAGAGTGGTGGGAGTGGGCGTGGTCTGCGTGTCTTGTTTACGTCTCTTCACAGCTGAAACAAAAACAAGCTGAGAGTCTGACTTCATGGAGAACAGGAAGTTCAACCTTCAGACATTTGATTTGTCCCTCTGAGACACGAGACGTAAAACAGATTGTTTCAACAAACAAACACAACTGAGTAAAAACAGACCCTCAGGATGAAACATTTACTTTTATTATTACATCAGACGTTGTTGAAGACARTAAAACATGGCAGCTGGTATTATAATGTGGGACAGAGTCTCTGATGAGCTCATACTTCATTAGTTCGACAAACTAATGAGCTGCGGCTGCAAGAAGCACCCATCCAAGATGGCCGCCGCTCTGTCTGTAGGGCGTCCATGTTTGTGAAGTCTGTTCTCTCCTGTACAACCACAGGAAGTCGCGACCATACCTCACAGGAAGTGAGTCATGTGACCATACCTCACAGGAAGTGAGTCATGTGACCATACCTCACAGGAAGTGAGTCATGTGACCATACCTCACAGGAAGTGAGTCATGTGACCATACCCCACAGGAAGTGAGTCATGTGACCATACCCCACAGG